TGCCCCCAGTGCTGCTACTCCTGGCTCCATTCTCCAAATTCCTCTGATTTTCCACCAATTGGGCCAAATTCATGGCCTCCCCTAAGTCACGGGGCATCAACACCTTCACGGCTGCTAGGATCTCCGCCTTTAACTCTTTCATGAAATTCCCCTCCAACACTGTGTCTGAGAGTCGCTTTACGCTGCTAGCTAGGTGCTCAAACTGCTCCCTATAATCTGCTACAAATCCCTCCTGTGTCAAAGCAAAGAACTGCTCATAGAAGTCTCCTCCCCGATCGGTTTGGAAACGCTCTATTATGCAGTCTTTAAATTCCCTCCAGTTCCTGATCGGCCTCCGTTGGTCTCTCCACTGAAACCACGACAAGGCTTTCCCTTCCAAGCACAATCCCGCTGCTGTTAGCATCTCCTCCTCCGTCAACCCGTTGACGGCAAAGTACCGCTCTACCTTGTAAATCCATCCATACGCATCTTCTCCTTCGAAGATGGGCATCTTTAACTTCCTCACCTTCTGGTCACCACCATTTCCCCTGATTCTTCCATAACTTCCCCTTTCCCAAGTGCTAGGTCCACCCCATGTGTCCCGCTCTTCCCTTGCTCTGCCATAGCCAAAACTCCTTTCGAAATCCCCCCTTATGTCTTCAAAATCAGCACTACGACGGCCGTAGTATCCCTCCTGGGGTTCCCCATAACCTCTTCTTTCTTCCATCTGGACAGGCTCCAGATGGGGTCTTCTTCCTACCCCTTCCATGATCTCCACCTCATCTTCCTCTCTACGGATTTTAGAACTCTTATTTTTTCCTTCCACCCCTTTTGCCACTGAATTTGCTGTCTGATTTTGAATCTCTAACATTTTTTTCATCATCTCTCGGAGGTCGGCGACTTGTCCCTCCATGGAAGAAATCCTTTCCTCCACCGTCATTTTGATTTGACTCATCTCCCCTTCAAGTCTTTCCTCCAATGCATCCACCTTTTTGGCCGCCATCACAACCTGGATTTTGTAGATTCACAAAACAGGATTTTGGAGTCAAAAAACAACAACTTCTTCTTTTTCAGGGCGAAAAACTGCTACTGGAATTCGTCGAAAACAGCCCTCCACCAATCCCGAGACTCGCTCTGATACCAATTTGATAGGAAATACTTGAGTTCGCAAGCAAACCTATCACTAATTGGAAGAAAACAGCAAGAATAGCATAAAATCTGGGTGAAATCAGCCACAAAACGAAAGGTTGCAATCCACGAAATAAAGCAAAACACACACGAAAGCAAAATACAAGTGATCCCTAATTCGAGAGGAGGATCATCTCTCCCAAATCTCTAGACAAGAGAGTCTAGAGCCCAAGCACCAAGAAACCCTAATTCCCAATCAATCAAAACATCCCCTCCTCCTAATCCCCTCATGCACTTTAATACAAACAGTTTCCTAAACTAATTTCCCTAACAAAACACTAGCCTCTCCTCTATTCAAATTTGAACCTCACAAGGATGGGCGGACACCACCTTAATTGGCAAAAAATTAGAGGAGGCGGGCTCTGTTCCTCCTCCTATAGTAACATTGAGCCGGCCCTTTGGCCGGCTGGGCTGGCTCACTGTGAGCCGACGTAACAGTTCGATGTGTCTGACGTTATCTTTGTTGGGGATGATGAGTAAAGACCACAATGATGAAACAAACAAAAAAATGAAAGTAGAGAAAATAAAGTGCACCAGGATTTAAAGTGGAAAAAATCCAAAAAAGGGAAAAAACCACGAAGCCACACCACACAAAGTAATCCACAATGAAATGGGGAGAAATAAGTACAGATCTCTCTTCTCTGTGACCCTCTCCTTCCTTCTCTTCTCACATGCACCGTTCTCAATATCTATGCATACAAAAATATAAGAGAAAGCTAAGTAAAATAACCCCAAGATGCAATCCTTAAAAAAAAACAAGAAAGAAAATCGTATAGTCCATCTTGCAGTGCCAGTTTGGGGCACTACAGCAATCAAGCCTTTATCTAGCACTACTGGAGCACCGTATATAAACCGCTGCAGTGCTCTACTCTATGTCGTCCAGTTCTGGGGCGCTCTGGAACACAGTGTCATGGTGCTCGTGTAAGAGCCAGTCCAACTGGCTAGTTCAAGTGAACCAGCCAGTTAATAAAACAGACAAGGATGGACAAAACGAGTGAAACACGCGAAGCAGGCAGGTCGAGCGGACAACTCCCGCAGCGCAAGCGCATCGGGCGGGTTGAATCGTGAAATCGAGCGAGTAAATGCTTTCGAATGTGAAAAGTAGCGAATCCTCATGTGAGATAACTATGTTTCGCTCACTCCTGCGAAATCAAACGAACAAAAGGGACTAAAAGGCAACAGAGAGGAAGAAAAAGAAACCTTTTTGATTTGCAAGTGGCTTCATCATTTGAAGACGACAAAGAGGGAGACGAGGAGAGATCAAGAGAGAGAAGAGAGAATTGGCACTTACGAGCAAGCCGCTGAAGGGAAAACTGCATGCATGAGGACTAGGTGTTGAGTAGATTAAAAAGAAAGGTAAAAGTATTTTATTTTATTTTATTATATGTTAAACTAATATATTTATTAAATTTTAAATAAGCTTAATATTTATAGAAAAATTTATTTATAATTAATAAGTTAAATTACTATGAATCTAATTAAGAAGAATATATAAAATTATTAGATAATATATGTATTTTGAAAGGAGGGAATTACATTTTTATATTAAATTTAAAATTATAGAATAGTGTATAGGCAACTATATATATTATTTTTAAAATATTTGAAAGCTTATTACATGTTATACTTTTTGCGTCCTGGAATATTCGCGGCGGTAGAGAAATATAAAGTTTAACGTCTTAGTTTTATACGAAGATCCAGCACGCATACATATAAGAAGAGAAGGTGTAACCTTCATAAGAGACACTAAGATTTTACGTGGAAAACCCTAAAAAGGGAAAAGCCCATAAAGCTTAGCCCAGTTTGAATGAATCCACTAGTATTTGCAATCGAGTACAAATGAGGCACTTCCCTAGGGGAATGCCTTAGCTTGATGTAACAAATATACATCATTTAAAATGTGTTACATGATGGGACTTGAAGAATCAGTATTGATACATCTGTTTGGTCGGTAGAACCATAATCTGGTGACAATGGTCAGAGGGGTGGGAGATAGTTGTTAGAAAAGACCGTTGTCTGGAAACGAAGGTCGGAAGGACCGCAATCTGGCTATGGAGGTCAGAAGGGCAGTAGTCGGCGGGTGATAGTGGCCAGAAAAAATATTGTCTGGAAACGAATGTCAGAAGGACCGTAGTTGGTAGACGACATTAGTCAGAAAGACTATTGTCTAGTGAAGGAGATCGGAAGAACCCTAGTCGGCTGGCGACGAAGGTCGGATGTTTGGCGATGTGCAGAAGTTCGGCGTCGGGTAAAAGTCAAACGAAAGTCCGGCGACCGGCAGAAATCTGGCGTCGAGTAGAAATCTGGCTACTGGCAGACGTTTGGCGTCGGATAAAAGTCCGAGGAAAGTTCGGCGACGTGCAGAAGTTTGGGGATGGGTAGAAATCCGGCGACAGGTGGAAATCCGGCGTCAAGTAGAAGTCCGCTGAAAGTCCGATAATGGGAAGAAGTCTGACGACAGACAAAACTTCGGCGTCGGGTAGAAGTCCGACGAAAGTTTGACGACGGGCAGAAGTCCAGAGTCAGTTGGAGATCGAGCGGAAATCCGGTGTTAGTTGACGGTCAGGAAAAAATATGACGACATGCGAAAGTCGGGCAGAACTCCGACGTCAGTTAGTGGCCGGACAGAACTCCGACATTAGTTGGTAGCCGGACATCATCGGTAGGTTGTCGGGTGGAAGTCCGACGATGGTTAAGAAAGAGTCTGGTGGAAAGAGAGCTCTCTTCTTTCTCTTTCTTTTCTTCCTTATCTTCTTGCATAGGTCTCCCCCCCTCCCCCCTCCACCTCCCCCATCCGATGTCCCCTTCTATGAGAAATGAGGGGCCTATATACAGTTTTCTGAGAGTAGCATGGCTAGTAAATAGGAGGAAGATAAAGGGTAAATTGGGATCGGTTTGAATGAACGATCAAAATTGAATCCCTTGACCGCGAACCGTTTATTGGGTTGGGCATTGGAGGGCCCTAATGATATCAAAATTCGACAATCTTTGGCTCGGATTTTTCTCATCGAGCCGCTTGATTCGACTATAAGCATGTCACATTTGGAGACTTTTTGGAAATCCAAATTATGGTTTGAACCTTCCAAATGTGCTTCGGGTCTTTGATTTGAACCTATTTGAGCTAGGATTGGGTCGAATTTGGTGTCATTGGGTTCGTATTTCTAGGATGTTCAACTCGACTATAAGTTTGTTGAAATTGGAGTTCAGATGATTTCCGATTTAATTTTTAAAATTTCCAACTTGATTTTGCGTTGAGATTCATGCTTGATCACGATATTTTTTTATGATATATCAATATTCTTGAAAAACGCAGACATGGCCTATCCAAATAGCACAACGCATGCCATTGATGTCACACCTATAACAACAGGAGAAGCGAACCACTGGCTATTGCCTAGGCAATGACAGGGGTTGTAGGACCTCAACCTCTTGTTGTGATCCCTATCATTGGTAGTCATTGCTTTTATCATTGATAAAAGGGATCATCATGGCAAACTCTTTGCAAATGGTACTGGTACTGGACAAGAAAACTCTTGCAAGAGATCAATCATTCTCATCTAGGAAGCTATTGCTATGATCTAGAAAGAGGTGGTGGTAAGTTTAATTTCTTGGAGCTGGAAAGAAATACGGAGATTTGGACCTCTGACAATAGGATTGTACTTGCTCGGCTACTCGGACAGACTGATGGTTTTTTTTTTTAAATGATAAATGCATGAAAATGTCAAATATAGGTTTATTTTTAGAATAAAAATAAAAATTAAGACCAAAACATACTAAAAAAATTAAAGTAAAAAGCCAAAAATAAAAGACATCTCAAACATCCCCCAAGTTACCATCTCTGAGTCGGTTCCCCACATCCTGTTCTGCATTTGTCGGGGAAAAAATTTCCCTTGTAGTTGCAACTGGAACTACATTTATCATTAATAGAACTTTTCCTCGGCCAGTATCTTCCAATTGCTTTCCCATTCAGCCAAGCCTGGCCTTTCCCCATATATTTCATATCAAGCCCTACAGGCTCAGTTCCTTTCGGGGAATCCACAACGACCTAAAAAGTTCATCCATTGTGCATTTCATTAGAATATAATCAGGCACAAATAAAATTAACTTAATATGGCGTCAAAACAACATAGCAGTGGGAGTACAATAATTTCTATAATGTGGAAATTCTATTCTAAATAAAGCAAGTTTAATTCCTTTCACATGGCCTTTTGATTTCCATAAAATACAAGATATACCAGTGATATTCAAAGAATGGACTGTACTATACCATGTACCACGTCAAAGCTTGATCCTTTGGTGGTAACGATGGGGTAATCCACTTAACGTTATCAATGCCATTACTGAAAATTCTTAGATGCTCTCCTTCCAAGCCAATCTACAATAAATGTAAAACAGCATTATTTAGGTCGGTTCAAACAATGAATTTAACAAGTAATTATAGTTTTAGAAAGATCCAAAAATATATTTTTATAATCTTCGTTCCACTGATAAGATAAATTTACTGTTATGAAAATGCAATATAATTCATACAAGCTTTAAAAATAACAACAGGTTTTCATAAAGGGAGAGTTACTAGAGAAAGAAGCATGAAAACTCCGAAAAAGGGTAAAAAAAATTTCTCTGAGAAGCAGATCTTGAAAAAAACACATTTTCTTAATTCATATACACTATTAAAACTTATATAAACAATCATATAACATTTAGTATATGCATTACATTTTCCATTTCTTTATACATTTCATTTATATTTCATATACAAGGCATTTCATAAAATTTAGCATTTATTCCATTTTCAATTCAATTTATACAGTACTGTCTAAATGTATCAAAACTACAACTATTTTCATTTCTTTATCCATTTCCATTTAATGTGCATGAGTACATTTCTTCCCCAACCAGTACCATACGAGGGTGAACTCCTGTAATTTGCATGCATATCCCTTTTTCCCTTTTTCATTTGTTAATTTATATTTTTATTTATAATATAAGATATCATTTCTTTCCTCACTCTTTACTTCACTTTCTATTTTCTTTAAATATGCATTTATATCTGTAATATCATGTATTTGATATACATTCTTCTATCAAATTCATTAATGTCAAAATTTCTCATCACATATTAATTTGAATCATCTCACATAATAACATTAAAACATCGATTAAAAAAGCGGTCGAGGTGTCCGAATAGAGGCGCAACTCAGTTCGAGGCGCTAACCCGGCGCCTTGAGGCTTAAGCCTCAATGTATTTGATGAGGCGTGCGATTTTTTTCAGCGAGGCGTACGCGTAGACGTGTAAGGCCTCGAGACAGCGTGAGGCGATGCCTCATTAGGATTCGACGGAGCTCACAGCGAAGAACAAATTTCTTATTTTTCGATCGTGCTGCTTCCACTTCGTCCCTTTTGAGAGCTGCTTCGTGTTCGACCACAAGTGAGTTCTTCGATCCGGCTGGAGTGCTCGGGAACGACCTTTCTTCCTGTTCGACCGCTGGTTTGAGTTCGTCATGCTTCATGTGAAGTCGGAGCTCGAACCGAAGGTAACACTACATGTACGACCACTATTTAAACTTTACCTGCTTCCTCTTTCGTATACTTTGGCTTCAACAACTGCAAGTAATGGGCTTTCTTCCTTTGCTCATGGAGTTTAAAACAACAAGAATTATTTTTATGCTTCTCTTTTAATGGCTAAAATTCAGCGTCTTAAAATCATTGCATGTCTCACCACTAGGTACATGCTCGGTACCACTAGGTACATGCTCGGTACCGAGCAAGTACCGCTCGATCCCGAGCCAGTACCGCTTGGTACCGAGCGGCACATACAAACAACTTATTGGCATAATATTTTAAAAGTACTCTTATAATAAAATTTCAAAATTACATACAAACAACCCCCAGGTCGAACCCCGCCAGGGGGCAGCGCCCCCTTGGACCCCCGGCAAACCGATATATTGTTGTATTCATGTTGTTTTATTATTGATAGTACAAATAATTATTAAAACAAATCTTCAAAATCATATTTGACATAATATTTTATTATTTTTTGTCATTATTTATAATTTTATATTAATTTATTTAATCGTTTTGACGCTTACGCGTCACCTCGCTTAGAAAAAATACATCGATTCCCGATTTCGCCTTTTAAAACCTTGCGTCAAAATATAAGTAAAATAACTATTTAAACAGTACCTTTAGAATTTAAATAGAAATTCAACAAGAAAATATCTATACACAATTGTAATTACCTACTTCGAATGTTTTGGCTTCAACTCCCTTCAAACCTTCAACTCTTGAGATGATCTTCCTTACTACAATATAAATCCACATACATAATATTTTTACCATTTTTCAATTTTTCACAATTCCCATATAAATTCTACTTTAATAAATCCTTACCTCCAATCTCCTTGTTGAGACTTGTTATTTGCTTTCATTGTCACCTTTGTATTTAGGTTAACCAATTCTCCACTATTCCTAAATATTTTTAATTTATTTCTAATAAACGGTCGACAAATTAAATGTCACAATTTGATGTCATAATAAATATGATTTGACTAATAGCTTTAAAGTAATATTGAAAGCTTCCAACTTTCCAAAATTTCAACTACTTATAAATTAATTAAAATCTATAATTAAAAATCTAAAGTAAATATCTTGTTCATCGCTGTAGAAAACGGAGCTCTCTTCTTCTTTTCCAAAAACTTCCTCCCTTTCCTTCAATTTTTCCTTTCCTCCTTTTATCTCTTCCTTTGCCTTCATTTAAAATATCTCTTATTGTTTGGATGAAGAAATATGGAAAGATTTACACAGAAAAATGGAAAATTTAAAAACCTTCACTCACTTTCCTCTTAGCCATCTCTCACGACATTTTTTCCATTTTTTATTTCTTTAGTGATGAGGAATGAAGAGGAGGAAGTTATACTTAAAAGGAGTCATTTACGTCCATCCTCATACACGATCATTCGCTCAAAACTGTGAGTCAAGCCATTTATACTCGCATGTGATCGCATTCGGCCGGCTCCAGTGGCACCTATCTCCACTCGGTTCCGCCTCTATTTGTTCAAACTAGGGCTGGTCGGTTCAATTGAACCAGCCAGTTAAACCGGTTCTTACACTTTGTGATAATTCCATCATAAATATCATGACTAGTCAACCAATAACGGTAGATAAGATTCCTGCTACACAAATGTACGATGTTGAATTGATAAATATGTATGTCAAGATTTAATGGTCAGGACTTCAAAAGGAGATTCTCAAAAAAATTCATGCCGCTCCACATTTTATCTATCCACGGAGTACTAAAATGAATCAAAATCTAAACAAGCTTCATTGGTGGTTTGGCATAAACAATGATATTAAAATTTTGTAGTTAAGTGCTTAACTTTTTAAATGGTTAAGGTTGAGCATCAAAGAGCTCATGAGTTATTACAACCTTTTTCCTATTTCAAAATGGAAGTAGAACAAGATTGTAATGGCTTTTATAATTGGCTTACCCAAATCTAAACAACAACAACAACAAGCCTTTATCCCACTATGTGGGGTCAGCTACATGAATCCTTCTTCTTCATTGTGCCTGTTAAAAATTAAATTTTCATTTAAATCTAATAAAGAAATATCATTTCTAATATATTCTAACCAAGTCTTTTTAGGCCTACCTCTATCTTTCTTAACATAAGTCAAATGTAATACATCTACTTTCCTAATCGGTTCATTAGAAGGCCGCCAATTTATGTGACTAAACAATCTAAGTAAACTCTTTCTATTCTTATCTTCCACTAGGGTTACTCCAACCTTTTCATGTATATGCTCATTTTGTATCTTATCTCTAAGAGTAAAGCCACTCATACCTGAGCATCCTCATCTCTTCAACATTTAACTTAATATTATGCTTCTCTTTTAATGGCCAACATTCTACACCTTAAAGTATTGCAGGTCTAACCACCATCTTATAGAATTTTCCCTTAAGTTTTAGGGGGACTTTTCTATCAACCAACAAGCCCAATGCACTCCTCCACTTCAACCATCCAAAATGAATTCCACTAATAATATCCTCATTTATTTCACTATCACTCTGAACAATAGACCCAAGATATCTAAACTGTGAACTCTTATTAATGACTTAATCATGACGAACCCAAATATAAACAAGGTTATCAAGTAATTAGTGGTTGACAAACTTATAAAGACAATTCATTTTTGAGCAATCAAGCAAAACAATATTCCTATGGAGAAGTTAGCAAGGATTTACATGGATAATATTATTCAATTACATGGGATATAATCATTTCTATTTTCGATTGATATGAAAGATCTACTTCAACAAAAGACAATGTAAAATACTTTGGGTACTAAATTAGACCTAGCATTGTGTTTCATCCTAGGACAAATAATTAATAACAAACTTTAGAAGATTTATCTTTAGTTGTATTTTTTACTTTGGCGTTAGCTAAGAGGATTAGATTCTACTTGTCGAATTAAGCTAGGATCGACAAGATTCCATATGAGGCTATATATGATAGGAAATGCAAATCTCATTTGTATTGGTTTGAGGATGGAGATCAAAACTCTTAAGGCCTCAACAAGTTGGTCAGGATATCAAGAAAATTCATCTTATTTGACAATGACTTCATTCATTTAAGTAGATTTGACAAAGGAATGTTGATTATAAAAAATAGAGGAATTGAATTTGAGATTTGAAATCATATTTTCGAAAGGTTTTTCCTAAATGTAAATTAGGAAATTTAGCAAGAGTGAAAAACTTCAACCTACTATTATTGGTCCTTTTAAAATGATTGAAAATTTTTGACAGAGTTTCTTGTTGATTCGGTAATAACCTAAAAACTTATTTATTTTTATTAAAAGTATTAATAATAAATTTTGGTTAACAAAAAAATTATGGATTTAATGGAACTATCTAAATCAAATTTACTTAATAGACTAATTGCTCCATATAGATTTAGTTTATTTATAAAAGTACTAAGATTTTAATTAAGAGAAAAATAATTTTTTTTAGAAATAATTTGTTTAGGAGATTTCTTTTATGAAATAAAAAAGAGGAATCTGCATGGACGGTTCAATTGAACCAATCTAATGGGATCGATTGTTAACCTTTAAGAGGGAGATGAAAAAAGCAAGAGAAAGAGAGAGTGGGAGTGAAAGACTGAGAGGGAGAGAGTGTGATTTAAAATGTGTTGGAGGGAGAGCAAGACTGAGCGAACAAGGGAGAAAGCAGAAGGCCGAGTGAGGACTGCTGAAGTGAGCGTCAAAAAACACTAAGCATGGACCATAGTAAGGAGTGTGGTCAATGAGACTATGGCATGAAATCCAAAGGAAGATAACACTTCTTCTTTATTCTTGATAAGGTAAACCAAAACCTAAGTTTCCTTTTTCTCCTTAACAAAAATTTTATTTTTAAAGAAATTCTTGCAAGAGTTTTAAGAGAAGAATTATATAGAATCTTAAACATTTAAGAAACAAATATATCTTTAATTTACATGCAATCTTAGTTTAAGAACAATAGCCAATGTTATGAACAAAATAATTAAGGTATAGATTTTCTAATGGACAAATTTGAGTTTTTTTATAGTCATTGAATAAAATAAAGGTTAATTTTTAGATTTTGTAAATGCTAATCAGTCTAAGGTGGAGAAGCCAAAAAACTTATTTTATTATATAGATCTTATGCTTAATATAAGAGGTAGATTTAGGATGGACGCAATTAGGTTATTCTTCCTACCATGCTTTCAAATCAAGATAAAACTCTAGATTTTTCTTTTATGTTTAACTAATAAGAATTTTGTCCTAATTAAAATGCATATCATTAAAAATATTCTTTATATCTATATAAGAAGCTATAAGAATTGTTTTGGGCTGTCTAAAAAATGAGGATTATTGTGCTCATGAATCATAATATTTTATAAAAATTTATAGAATTCAAATTAGAGTCTTTCAGTTATTAAAGATTTAGAATAAGTTAAATAATTGTGACTTCAGGTTTTAGGTTTCCATAAAATATCATAAATCGAGCTTATTAGATCAATATAAATGGCCTATTTTATTGAGGTGAAGTTTAAAGAAATAAAATATAAGTAATCTAAATGTAATTAATAAAATGAAAGACTTCAATTCATAAAAGAAAATCAATTACTTATTATTTTTAATAAAAAAAAACCAAAATACTTGAATTAACTCAAGATATAATTTTTTTTAAGTATAGATTGATATAATATTGCTTAAAAGAAAATGAGTCAAAGATTCATTAATGATCATCCTAAGTTATATTTAAGTATAAGAGAATCCAAGTGATTATTATTATATGTATCTTGTATGTGGAATTCGGTTAAGTTTATAGGAATAAATACTTAAAAAACAAGGGCAAGGGCAAGGTTAAGGAATAATACTTACAAATCTCAAGGTGGGTGATTACATTGCTAAATTAGAGTAATATTTCATTTTTTTTAGACATTTTGCATTTAATTGAGCTAATTATAACTTTGTTCATTCATATTCATGATATAAATTTATTATTATCAAACCATGACCACAAATAGTTCACAATGGTTTATCTATTCCAAAGCAAAATGATTCTTCATATTGACACGAATGAAGTTCATCTCCTCACCAAGCAACAATTATTTATATTGTGCATCACTTTAAATATTGTGCAATATTTATGATCACGGTTGATGTTTAAATGATAAGCAAATTTTATAATTTCCTTATAGTTTCTAATGATAACTAGTCTGGATGATATTTCTTTTTCATTTGATTTATTGTAATTTAGACACTTTTTTTAATTGTAATTTAGACACTTGATTCATCCATTGCCTTATGTTAGTAACTCATCATTCTATTTAATCAATATATATATATATATATATATACTGAGAATTAAATGAGTGGCAGGAAAAGTTTATGTATTATAGATGATGTATATCACAAGAAAATGATATTTATGTTATGTAGATAATTTACAAATAATAGAAAGAGAAGAGAATCTATGCATTATAGATGTTGTGGGATAAAAGAATAATATGAGATATCTATGTTATATGGATGGTTGACAAAGAATAGTAGATTTTTTGTATTATTATTTAAAATGAACTTTATGTGATAGTGTTTCTTTCGGTGTATTAAATCACTATATTAGATTAAGGTTTATAAAAATTTTGGTTAATATTGATTTTGAACTTAGAAATATTTTAATTTAAAAATACTATCCCACAATCTATTCCTATCTTTTTACTCAAAGCTCCAAGGCCAAGTCATGATAGATTGGCTCTTCCATTGAGGCTCGCAAGAAAACATAATACATTTTCATCTGTTTCGTATGTTCCTACATACATCATGATTCTTATAAAATTTGGTTCATGCTATTGTTCATTCAAGCAAATCCGAGTTATAGAGAATATTTTGAAACATAAGGTTGTACAACTTCATCATTGATTTAATCCATTTGTTAGGGTGTTCGGAAGAAATACTTAGAAAAAGATGCAAGATGGGAGATAGAAAGAGATGATTGCGAAGTACATGTAACTATTTCAAAATTAAAGTATGAATATGGAGGAAAAAGTTTTTAATGGGCTATAATTATAATGCAATCTTCATAAAAGAAAGTTTGACTTTTGCAACAATAATTATATGAGCCGGTAATGGAGTAATCTATATGAATTGCCTTTGACTATTAGTTTTTCAATGCCTATTAGTGTGTGTAATTGATTGAGAGTTTGATTCATGTAGGAGCATCAAGTTGATTTCAACTTGGTTTGATTTGCTGAAATCTCAAATAAATTAATGTTTTATATTGCTCTCTTTGAGGTAAGAAACCTTTATTCATTAGAGGATAATCATACCCTTCTTCATGTGGGGTTTCATCATTGATGCTTGTGGTATGATTCTTAGATATTTTTGCCGATTGCTCAACAAGTCTAGCATTTTCAAATTCAATAATTAGCATACATGCTTTAGTAAATTTCATCTAATGTTCGTAATGAATAAAGAGTGATGCAGATAGCTTTGTCTTGATTTATTATTACACAAATTCCAAAATATTGAATTGATCCCTATGATAGCAAGATTTAATGCCAAACTTTGATGTTGATGTGGTTTTGAAATATCAATATTGTGACGACATCAGATGTCAATGTTGAGATGACATGAGCATTGTTATGAAACCCAAGTCGTGACCAACCAAAGAGAAATGAAAATGAGGATATTTGATTAATGGAGTATTGAGTTCGGGCAATTGATGTAATTGATAGGACATAAGAAGTTTAGTTTTTATATTTTAAATAAATTAATTTTTTAAATAAAAGAAATTATATTTTAAAAAAATTGATAAAATATTTAAGACACTAGTGTCGGACACGCACGTCCAATTTGTATTTATTTATTTTTTAATCGGACACATTTTCGGCGTATCCAACACGTGTCAGAGGGGTGACAGATGCATTTCATAGCAGATAAGTGTCAGACATTGCACGGCTCTTTGAGAAGAAATGTCGGTGCATCATAGAAGAGGGGTTCATGATTTCCACACTACTATAACAAGGAAAAAACAAAATGTTCGATCTACTTCAGAATAGAGCCCTAAGAATATTTTCTCCTTGCTTGCAAATTTGATTGGTGTTCAAACAGATATTGATCCATAAATATCAATGAGAAATGATATAAAACAGACAGTCCAATTCCTTAGGGTAAATTACCAAAAAGCCATGAAAGAAAGTAGTTCGGCATGAGAAAAAAGACACATCCACACCTTCCAACAAATAACAATAACTTTCACGCCAAATACCACAAGCCTGTGATCGAAATAAAGTAGCACTAAATGCATAACACCAAAATTGAGAACACTTAAAAATAAATAAATAAAACTAGATAAAAACCACACAAGTCAAAAAATGAACATGTAAATCTATATATTTGCACGTGTTGTAAACAATTCATTGAGAATTTGCTTAAACATTGAGAATTAAAGTTCATAGTTTTGTTGTAAATTTTGGGATTTTCTGTGGCAATTTGTAAATAATAAATATTTTGACTCTTTCGATACAGAACACAAAATAAAGAGCCAAAAAGAAAAGTTTGATAAAAAGACACCATCCCAACAGTATTTTAAATTTTACCTACAAATTAAAAAAATTATGGAAATATAATAGATTGTATACAAGTAATAGAGCACAATTTTTATCAAGAAAAACTAAACAAGCATTTTTCTTCTCGAAGCTACAACAATATTCTTAGTAGCACACCTCAAAGAGTTCAAGTACGCTAGAACTCAAAATAAAACTGAACCAGAGTAAAAAGGGATGTGATTCCTCGAGTTACCTTATACTTCCATGTATTTGAAGACAAATCTATGGTTCCATTATCTAACCCTGCAATCTTGACACTTGTTAATCCAGCTCCAACCCATTCGTAGAAAGGTCCTGCATTCTTATTAGGGAAAAAAGGGAAGAAAGAACATCTAAGAAATATTAGATAAAACAGGATCCACTCAAAGCTGAAATATTAGATAAAACAGGATCCACTCAAAGATGAAAAGAAAACCTACAATAATTTTCCAATTTTTGTATTGTTTAAGAATTATTATCGAGATTTTAATCAGTAGAATCAACACCGGACAAACAAACCTAGAAAAAGAGGTACCCTTAAATTTAAGCACTATGCAGAGTTGATAGTTGTAATATGTGTTAAGATGGTGGATAAATAGATACCTAAATTGACTCCTATATACTAGTGGATGGGCATCCATCAATCCACAAGCTCGACCTAGTGTATTAGGTGTAAGGGAGCATGCAACTATGATGGCCAAACCCCTTTTTCAACCCTAAGAGAGCCAACTACTTGGCATTTCTACAACTTTTTCAACTATTTGATCTAGGACTAAAACTCAATACTCTCATATGCCATTAGAATCTCTCCCTAAAGTAAGAGTTCTCCGCATCAATCAATACTCCCATTTAAATGGAAGCTTTCAATCTCAAGTATCATGCATGAAGATAAGGACCTAGCTGAGCAAGCATATGAGACAATGGATAGTGGAACAACAGAAAGCTCAAGTAATGATGCAGTTCCATATGGCTGTCATGTTAACATGGAACATTGTAACGTAGCATTGTCCAGACATGAATTTCCTCAAAACCATGCATTTCACAATTACGATAATTTTGATGAGATGGTTGCTAACAATAAGTATATTCAATTTATACGAACGACTGAAATTTTAGAGCCCATCACTCCTGATACTTTATATGAAGGAATGACATTCCGTAGTAAATAAGCACTATAATGTGCTCTGAATGGTTGGTCTATAAACGACGACTAAAATTTCTGTGCATGCCACAACCACCCAACGCCGCCATGTTTGTGACGCCTCCATGCTCCATGAGTAAGCACCTTAGTGACGCATAAACGTTTTCATCAATCTCTGGTCAACATGCGTAAACCAAGTAAGGTCTTATAGTCATCATAATTATACGTCAAAATTCATCTGCTACTACATCACTGTTATTCTCCAACCAAAATTAGATATGAAGCTAAGAGAGATCATTACATGAATTGAATCAGAATTAGACATTAAGGTGATGCGGGAAAAAATCCAGGGGATGGGCGGCCCGAGGACCTCTGCCCACAAAGAGTAGGATAAAGAAAAGAAAGGGGACTCCTACGTAATAAAATGAACAAACTCTTACATTTCAAATAAAGAAAGACTTAGAAATTAATAGACTTACAAAATAGAACTTGAACTCTTACAAACTTGACTCTAAAAAAAATTAACGACACCCTAAACTTGCTTTACTTGAGAAGAAGGATACAGGTGGGGTGTAAACTTGCAGAGAGACGAAAGAGGTTAGAAGCCCGAGAAGAAAGGTGGAGAAGAACTCGCAAGTCTCCTCAGAGAGCTGGAAGAAGAAGGTGGACAAAGCTCAGAAGCTCCTCCAAGAAAATCCCAAGGATTTCTTTTCAAAAATTAATATATCACTCTTTTTAAAACATTACAAAACCCCTCATATTTATATGTAAGAAAGGGGAATACAAACAGACACTTAATTGAATTCCCACAGGAATCCAAGCACCACAAACCATGGAAAAGCCCCCAGCTTTTCACGGGAAAACAGCCCGGCCAGGGAACCGAAGGAGCAGCCAGGGAACCGAAGGAGCCCGCATAGAACCGAGGCGCCAAAAGGCACGGAAAGGCCCCCAGCTCGGAAAACCAGCAGCCCACCGTGGGAACTAAGGAGCCAAGGCACGGGAAAAGCCAACTGTGGATGCTAAGGCATGGGAAAAGCCAACCGTGGAAGCCAAGGAGCCAAGGCACAGGAAAACAAACAACCTTGGGATTCCAAAAACCATTTTAGAATCCTAAGAGACAAACTTAAATTTAAGACATAAAAACCTTAAATAAAAATTACAAAATTAAGATAACTAATGAACTAAAACTTAGCTAATAATGAGCTAACCTTTAGTTCAATAAATGAACTAAAAATCAGCTCATAAATGAGCTAAACTCCAGCTCAAAATTTATAGAGCTAGTAAGCTCAAGGGAAGTCAAAACCAACTTATTTTGGGTTTGCGTTGACCCCCCCCCCCCCTGCCTACATCAAACTCCCCTTCTTGAGAACTCATCTCCCGATGAGTTAGCTTTGCTTTCTTTGGAGGAGGTGAAGACGAAGTATCCAACTCTTTGATCTTTTCTTCATATTTCTTCAGGATCTCTTCTCATTTTTTCAGAAATTAATCTTGTAAACGCTGTTTCTTCTTCATTTACCTTTATGTACACAAATGCATCCATGATTGAAGTTTGTATTGTTCATACAACAAAGGATTTGTCGATTCTGATGGAATCCATCTATCCATAGGATCTTCAATTTCATCTGGCTTTATTTCTTCAATTTTTTTGTCTTTTTCCATTTTTTTTAAAACGACTCAAAATAAAAAAAAAGACTCAACAAACAAGACTCGAAAGACTCAACCTAAAAAACTTAGACTCACAAGACTGACAAAACTTACAACAAGACTTGACTTGACAAACCAAAAAAAGATTTGACAAATCAACCTAGGACTTCCTGACTTGCTCTGATATCAAGTATGAAAGTAAGAAAATAGATGCAATAAAATCATGTCCCAAAGTAGAAATCACAAAATATTAGTTTAACAAAACTCCCAAAGCACAAAGAACATATAAAATGCAATTATATCCCATCACTAAATAGGTCTTCAAGAGAATCTTCTTCTCCAATTGTATCTATGAATGTCATATCATCATCATCTTCAATATGACTCACTTTTCTCTTCCCTTTACTTGATTGTTGTGCTGCAGAGCTAGTGGATGTGTGTGGTGTGGTACTAGTGGATGTGCCCACTTGATCTGCTTCACCCCTCAAGACATCCACACTTAAATTCAAACTTGGGATAGAATGAAAGAAAAATTTCTACCTTCTGATCATTCAAGAACCATCTTTCAGGAATTTAATAATTTGCATCAAGGTAATCAAACTGTGGAAAAATACACTAAAAACTTTTATAAATTGCAAGCTAGAAATGATTTGGACGAGTCTAAAGAGAAAACCATAACAAGATATCTTAATGGGTTAAAATGGATAATTCAGGATCAACTGAATTTGCATCATGTCATTAAATTAGATGAAGCTTATCGCATAGCCTTGAGAGTAGAAAAACAACAATTGCGGGGAAACAACAAAATAACGGAAACATATAAGTGGCGACAAACTAGTGGAACTAAACTTCAATCTCAAACTTCTGCGGGAACTTTGGGTGTGAAAATTAAAGCTATTGAAGGTCAAAATCAGGAAAAGGGTAAAGGGGTAATGAGATCTAAACCTACTGAACAATCAAAACTAATTGGACCTTGTTACAAATGTGGTCTATACGGTCATTTGTCAGCTACTTGCAGAAAAAATAACCCTCCACAAAATAACTTCATAGAAAATGAAAAGGAAACAAAGGAAGAGGAAGAGGAAGAGAACAAAACAGAATCTGAAACTAAAGCTAAGTTGGAAAATTTTGACTTGGAAGGTGATGAAGGAGAACCATTGTTAGTAATTCGACAAGTTTTAACTGCTCAAACTGAAAAGGAAGATAAGTGGCTTAGAAGAAACATCTTTAGGACTACATGCACTATTGAAGGGAAAATTTGTACCTTAATGATTGATAGTGGAAGTTCAGGAAATTGTGTCACAACACATGGTGAAAAAGCTTAAATTAAAAACGAAACCTCTTGTTAAGTCGTACAAAATATCTTGGTTTAAAGAGGGGAGTGAGGTTCATATAACAAAACAATGCACTGTGAACTTAACAATTGGGGGAACTTATAAAGATCAAATAGTCTGTGATGTTGTACCTCTTGAAATCTGTCATATCCTTTTAGATCGTTCATGGCAGTATGATCATAAAACCGTCCATGATGGAGAAAAGAACACCTATACTTTGATTAAAGATAACAAGAAGTTCACTCTTTTTACACAAAGAAACATTCCTGATCCAGCAAAAAAGAACAAAAAGTCTGTGAAATCTTCCACCCCTGAATTGCTTCTAAACACAAGTGAGTTAACAAAGTCTGATGTGATATATTTGGTGCTTGGAAAAAAACTGATTTAACTCTTGAAATTCCTAAAGAAATACAACCGTTGCTTGATGAATTTTCTGATTTAATACTTGATGAATTACCAACTGGTTTACCCCCAATGAGAAACATTCAACATCATATTGATTTAATTCCTGGAACTACATTACCTAACCGTTCACATTACAGAATGAGTCCAAATGAACATCAAGAACTTTCTAAGCAAGTGTCTAAACTGTTGGAAAAATGTTTAATCCAAGAAAGTCTGAGTCCTTGTGATGTAACTGCTTTGCTTACTCTTAAAAAAGATGGAACCTGAAGAATGTGTGTGGATAGCCGAGCCATAAATAAGATAACCATCAAATACAAGTTTCCAATTCCTAGGTTGGATGACATGCTTGATATGCTAAGTGGTGCCAACGTTTTTTCTAAAATTGATTTGAAAAGTGGGTATCATCAGATAAGAATTAGACCAGGCGATGAATGGAAAACTGCTTTTAAAACAAAACAGGGCTTATATGAATGGCTTGTTATGCCTTTTGGTTTGTCCAATGCTCCAAATACTTTTTATGCGAACAATGAATCATGTTTTGCGAGCTTTTATTGGAAAGTTTGTGGTTGTATATTTTGATGATATTCTAATTTATAGCATTCGCCCATCTGAACATCTTTTTCATGTCGAGCAAATTCTGAAAACTTTGAGGGAACAAAAATTGTATATAAATTTAAAGAAGTGTTCTTTTATGACTTCAAGTTTGACATTCTTGGGTTACATTGTGTCTGCTAAAGGAATCAAAGTAGATCTTGTGAAAATTGAGGCAATAAAGAGCTGGCATGTTCCTAAAAATATCAGTGAGGTAAGAGGTTTTTATGGGTTAGCATCTTTTTATCATCGATTCATT